TCCCTGTTCTGGATATGTGACTTAGACTGCTTCCCTGTTCTGGATATGTGACTTAGACTGCTTCTGTTACGCTGGGTGAGCGAGCGAGCCGGGAAACAGGCGAGGCAAGCCGAGAATGCAGGGAAACGGGGCTTTATTCGGGCAGACAGGAGCAAGACAGCGAACAATACATCAATGACGGATCTGGGGAAGACTGACTCAGACACGGACTAAATACTATAGACAAGCCGAAACAACAAGGAACAGCTGGGCACGATCGGGAAAGAACACGTGGAGAATGAGGGGGCGTGGCACACATCAGGAGCGGACGGAACGGATCATGACATTATTATTATTATTATGATATCTTTTGTATAGCTTTTGTTTGTTTGTTTTCTTTGTATATATTGCAGTAAGGCTACTGGTACTCTATTACATACAGCACTTCATTTTTCTACCACTAGAGGACATCAGCACATTACGTGCTTGAACATGTATTATACATCGGGAAAAAGGTCACTGAACTTCAATGGCAGAGCATGATGATGCAGAAAACAGGAAATTAGGTGACAAGAGAGTTTTTTTGTAGTCTAACATCTGCAAGTTGGAATGTAAAAGGTAAATTCTTCATGTGGAGAACATTTGAATATGAATAATGGCATTTTAATAAGAATGAGAATTAAGGACAAAAAGTTCAACCTTTGTCTTAGTCAGACCATAACACCTTTTCCCACATGATTTGGGGTGTTTGAATGTAATGCAAAATATAGATAGGTTTGTATCAACATATGGAGGGTCAACCTAGTATTGATGATAGTCTTATTTTATGCTTCACTTTTGAAAACAAGGTTCAGAGGTAATCTGTCACATTCAAAATCATGTATTAGGTATTTTAGGTTTCCAAATATATATCATACTAATATATGGCAAGATCAGCTTGATTTCTTGCTTTATATCACACACATCTTCAAATTTCATTATGGGTGTGTACATTTTTTTTTATATCCACTGTAATATAGCTGGTCAAAAAGCCAAAGTGACCTACATTTCACCATGTTTGCAGGTTATCTGGATCACTATTCCACTAGGCTGCTATGTAGAAAAAACATTCAGTTTGTCCAATCACTATACAGTCATTATTTAAAAAAAATCTAATATACTATGAAACAATCTGTTGTGCTGCTCTTGGGAAGCTAGTGATAATTCCTGGATATAGTCAATAAGCAAACAAAAACAAATTGTCTGTGTAATGATCCAGTGTCTCAAAGAAAGTTAAAGTATAATGAATATTGAACTTTTTATATTTATATTGTTATTTTTATGTGAACCTCACATTATAAGGCATTGCCACAAAACATGTGGTGTTTGTAAGATCAATTCCTAATATGATATGTTTGTATAACAACAGGTGTGAGGTTTAAAAACATGCAGCTGGAGTCTGATGTCAGTTCCCAGTCTTGGTATGACCTAAAAATAGTCTGGTAACCATCATGTGGGCTCTAAATGGCTCAGCACAAGCATGCTACAAGCTGTCCTTGCGTTGTGCCAAAACGCTTGCCAGTTTCAACTACATAATATGTGATTGCTGTACTCATTTGCCTCTCTGGTGAGTTCTCTTGGCTTTTTTTCCCCACCTTGTCTTTTGTGCTTACATTTTCCTTTTGTCAGTTTACTTTCACATTAGGAATTTTCAGATTATGCATTTAACACTATAATTAATTACTGATTGTTACGTGCTTGTGGAGGGCTGATTAAAGATGATAATGATTCATTTCCGAACAAGCTTGTGGTTTTAAGTTAACTGCAAATTCCTCCAGCCTTTAATTTCACAGAATATAAATGTAATGGAGCCAAAATGAACTGTTGTCGATAAAGGACTGGATTTTTGCTTACCTACATAAATGAGTCTTACTAGTGTTTTATGAGTTATGATGACCTATAAAACATTTACTTTGACTTCATATTTATACTTATTGGAATCATGTTATTTAATTAGAAACCATAAATACAATTTTCAGCAGTATACTGTAATATGTAGTACATCATATTTGTTTACAAAGAACTGTTTATGCATTTCCGCCTGCTTTAGAATAAATGTTGCTTTCCTTTAAGAAAGTAAATGAGATTCTTACAATATTCTAGATGTTACTTTTGTAGTTGAAGTTGTTTATTTTCCAGGTAAATATTGCCTTGAGCCATGGTACGCAACGTTGATGATCTGGACTTCTGCCTCTCTTCACACTCACAAAGCATTCTCGAAGGACTGCGGTCCCTCTGTCTACATCCCAAATTCATTGACGTGACATTAAGTGTGGGTGGCCGTGAATTCCCTTGCCATCGTAGTGTGTTGGCTCTCTGCAGCCTCTATTTCCATTCCATGTTTTCTGGAAATTTTGTGGAAAGTATTGCTGCTAGAGTAGATCTGCAGGATGTAGATCCTGACATTTTTAGCATTCTGCTGAATTTTGCCTACACGGGCAAGCTGACAATCAACCAAGAGAATGTGGAGGGATTAATCTGCACCTCCAGCCAGCTGCAGTTTCAGACTGTGAGGGCTGTATGCAGTCGTTATTTGCAGAATCAGATTGATGCAACTAACTGCTTAGGCATTCTGGAGTTTGGTGAAATACATGGCTGCGCAGAAGTGGTGGCTAAAGCCTGGTGTTTTGTACTGGAGAACTTTGAAGCCGTGGTAGAAGAGGAGGAATTCTTACTTCTGGGGAAGGAGAGGCTCATTGCCTGTCTTTCGAATGATGGCCTGCAGACTCGGGATGTGTGCACCTGCGCCAGGGCAGTCCTCTCCTGGGTCAAGCACCAGGCAGACTCACGGCTCACCCACCTCCTAGAGCTGCTCAGTTTGGCCAGACTCTCCCTCTTGCCTCTTGAATACATTACAGAAACTCTCTTGAAGGATAGCTTGATCTTGAAGAATCAAAGCTGTAGGGATGTTGTGGAAGGAGTCCAAAAACAGGTTTGTGTGTGTTTTTCTGTAGTGAATGCCTTCAGACCAGTTTTATAATATGGATTTTTTATTATTTTTATTAATTTCTACTAAGCTTCATTTGGGAAATTGACATTGTCTTCTTTGTCTTGAGATACTGGATTTACAACCAGGAACTTTAATAGAGGGAAATATGAAAAGTCCACAACCCCACCTGCAGGAAGTATTGTTTGTCATGGCAGGCCGCTCCCTGGATGATGATGAAGAAGAGGAGAGAATGTCAGCTACACCTCCGCGAAACTGTGCTTTCTACAACAAAAGGACAAGTGAGAATATCAGATTATCATTTCATATATAAATTTATATATGAAATGATAACGATGCACACACATACATACATACACACCCAGACATACAGACGTGCTGTTATAAAACTGCATATAAATATTTTTTCCAGGCCAATGGTATATACTTCCTGATTTCCCAGATTACAACAAGTGGGGTTATTCTGTGGTCTCGCTGAACAATGATGTGTATATCACAGGTAAGTTTAATACTGACAAGTAGACATAATTTCACAGCAAATGTCATACCACAAAATATCATTATTTTAACAAAGAAAAAGGGTATGTGTCCATGTTGAATTGCAATAGTTTGGGCTTTGGTGTATTCTAAAAATAAATGGGGGCAATAAATTGAAAGGTGAGTTGATAATTCTATATGGCTCGTGCTTTTTAAAAAGCATACATGTCCTGACTATGAACTATAAATAAAGCATACAAAAATGTACAAAATTAATATTTTATTTTTAAACATTGAAATTTTAAAATTAGTTTTAAGACATACATTAATATTTGAAGTTACACAAATGGATATCTTAAAATTATCTAATTGTATTGATGGATATACATTATCTTAGATGTTCTCATAATGTATGTAATGCTATTTTCAATGCAGGAGGTTCTCGAGGGTCTCAGACGCACACCTGGTCCACCACAGAGACATGGAAATATATCCCTCGAGAAGGGAAGTGGGTAACAGTGGCTCCAATGCTAAGGCCAAGAACAAACCATACTTCAGCAGCGCTGAATGGAGAAATTTATGTCATTGGTGGTAAGGAAATAAAGTTTTCCGGGTGTAGTTAGAGGTAACAAAATGAAAACTTCAAAAACAGTTTAAAAAGGACTTTCATTTTGACATGTTTTAAACACATCTTATGAGTACTTAAAGAAAGAAAAAAATGGGTAGCTATTTTAAAAGTTTAGAATTGTTGGAATTTACAGGGTTTTTTTAAGTCAGAGAACAGATTAATGTTATAACGCATGTACAATTTTCAAAAAAATCTGAATCATTTCTCAGGATAATACTCCTTTAAACATTTTCTTTTGTAGGCACTACACTGGATTATGTAGAAGTGGAACATTATGACCCTTACAGCAACAACTGGTGTCTCACTAGACCAGCTCTGAAATATGTTACAAACTTTACTGCCAGTGCCTGTGCTGGAAAGTTGTACCTGATTGGCTCCTGTGCAGTCAAATATAATGCACTCACTATGCAGTGCTACAACCCCGTTATTGGTAAGACTGAGTTCATCTCAGTATACAAAATTGTTATAAAAAAAATTATAAAATGCTGAGGACCATTGTTGTCTACTAAAATATTTAATGTCCAGTTTCTAGGATGATTTCCTGAATATAGCCAATATCCAATATCCAAAAAAACTGTGTAAATAACCAGTGTGTCAAAGAAAGTCAATGCATTTTTGTATTAAGTATTATTTCATATAAACTTGGCATTATAATGTTGCGATCGAGAGAAAGGCAAATGTGCAGGGTGCAGTGAAGCAGAGTCCGGGAGCCTTAAATCCAAGCAAAAGGGATTTATTGAGGGCAGAGGGACAGACAAGGTACAGACTTCCACAAACATCAATGGCAGACCTGGGGAAACAGACTTGAACGTGGACTAAATACAGGACATGACCTCAGAATAAACGCAAGACAGCTGATACGATGGGAATTGACACGGGGTTAAGGAGGAGGGCGAGGCACACACGAGGACTGGCATTAACATACAGTATAAGGCATTAACACACCAGAATTAATTTGTAAGATCAATTAATGTTGTTCCAAAATAACACAATACTATTATATATTGCATAGGTGATGGCTATTTTTAAAAATAATATGTAAACTTTAAGACCTATTTATGCAGTCGACCCTTCCACATTGTGAGGGTTAGGGGCATAGGTCCCAAGTGATTTCAATAAACTGTGTAAAATTTTTGGTCACCTTGGTTCCCTTGGTGAGAGACGTAAGCATGCGAGTGAATTGAAGCATAAAGATATGAGAAGCACGAGTTACAAAGGGTGCTTTTCCACCGCATCAAGTGTCATACTTTTGGTATACTACTTTTGGTACTTTCCCTTTTCTAGTGACTTCCGGTCGAGTACCAATCCCAAAAGTTCCAGTACCAAAAGTGGCAAACCATCTGGGGTACTTCTTTGGTACTTTGGTGTGGGACCTGAAATGCTTTTTTTGTCGATTGGTTATGCAAATAGCCTCCTGTTGAAACATAATATAAATGCCGCCTTGAGAACTGTTGCGAGCTCAGAAAACAATGATAAATGAAGTAAAAAAATAATAATTGCGATCTGGTTGGAAGAACAAATACAACAAAAAGATCAGAATTGCGTGACAAGAAATTAAAAAAGTATTTTGTTCAACATACTAGGACAGCACGCATATAGAGTGTAAGAACTGCATGTGCATATCATGCAGTGTTGGTATTAATATCATACATCATCCAGCCCATTTCTCAAATTCAGTACAAAATACCCTGCCTTACCTTGTAATGTCATTCGGTGCCGGTACCAGTTTTTACACTAGTGGAAAACCAATACCTTGAAGTACCGTACTTGTGGTACTTTTCTGAAGTACCAAGAGTACAGTACCTGGTGCAGTGGAAAAGTGTCCAAAGATCACTGTGAGATATCATGCAAGAGGCTGCTGTAGCATACTTGGTGTCCTCCAAACATCCATCCATCCATTTTCTGCCACTTATCTGGGGTCAGGTTGTGGGGGCAGCAGTTTAAGCAGAGATAGCCAGACCTCCCTCTCACCAGCCACCTCCTCCAGCTCTACTGGGGGAATACCAAGGTGTTCCAAAAAAACACTGTTTGTATATTTTATGCCTTTATGACTTACTAAACTTTTCATCTGCTGCCCTTCACGTGCCATCTGTGGCAAAACTCACAAAATCTTCCCATTTAATGTCTTCTCCCAAACCCATGATATATACCCAGCAAAAAAAGAAACGTCCCTTTTTCAGGACTGTGTATTTCAACAATAATGTTGTAAAAATCCAAATAACTTTACAGATCTTCATTGTAAAGGGTCTAAACAATGTTTTCCATGCATGTTCAATTAACCATAATCAATTAATTAACATGCACATCCGAATATCACACCTACGTGACAGGTACAGGATGGCCACAACAACTGCCCGAGTCACACCAGGAACACACAAGCCCTCAGTCCAGCCTCTCTCAGCCTATTGCGGACAGTCTGAGCACTGATGGAGGGATTGTGTGTTCCTGGTGTGACTTTGGCAGTTGTTGTGGCCATCCTGTACCTGTCACGCAGGTGTGATATTCGGATGTACCGATCCTGTGCAGGTGTTGTTACACGTGGTCTTCCACTGCGAGGATGATCAGCTGTCCTTCCTGTCTCCCTGTAGCGCTGTCTTAGGCGTCTCACAGTGCGGACATGGCAATTTATTGCCCTAGCCACATCAGCAGTCCTCATGCCTCCCTGCAACATGCCTAATGCACGTTCACGCAGATGAGCAGGGACCCTGGGCATCTTTCTTTGGGTGTTTTTCACGGTCGGTAGACAAGTCTCTTTAGTGTCCTGCGTTTTTAGAACTGTGACCTTAAATGCCTACTTTCTGTAAGCTGTTAAGGTCTTAACGACCATTCCACAGGTGCATGTTAATTAATTGATTATGGTTAATTGAACATGCATGGAAAACATTGTTTAAACCCTTTACAATGAAGATCTGTAAAGTTATTTGGATTTTTACAACATTATTGTTGAAATACACAGTCCTGAAAAAGGGACGTTTCTTTTTTTGCTGAGTATATATCAAAACCACGATGGGGAAAGTTACAATGCAGAAGGGTCAACTGTACTGGCAAGTCAATAATTAATGCAAAACATCAATTCTTTTCATAAACAAACCTGATATGACAATATTCTGGTTCCTTTTCTATTTTGAACTAATCCTTATCTTTTATTACAGACAATTGGAGTATTATTTGTTCTCCATTCATCCCAAAATATCTGTCCTCTCCCCGCTCGGTCTGCTTGGATGGAATCATTTATTTAATAGCTGACAACACTAAGAAAGTGTATTGTTATGATCCCAGTGCTAATATGTGGCAGAAGGTTAGTATGATTCATATACATTTTAAATTGTTTGTAAACATCCCTTTGATTCTGTTGTGGCAACTAAATCATGTATTAAATCCTGCATGAGTTATATATACGGTTTACCTATAAATGATTCTGTCTCTCAGGTGCAGTTCCTTCATACTTTACATGAGAATGGAAGCATCATAGTGCTAGGAGGCCAGCTGTATGTAACAGGTGGGCACTGGAAGGGCATAGAGGGCGATTATGGAGTGGAAGTGGAGGCATACAGCTGTACCTCTAATATCTGGCATGTGGAGTGCAATCTGCCCAGGCTGTGGTTGTACAGTGGATCCTGCTCAATATTCCTGGACCCTTCCCAATGGATGGAGCCTTTCCCTCTCAATCAGATGTAACTAAGGGCAAAGGTAATCAATTACACAGCTTGTTCAACTGCCCCCAAAGATATAAGTACTTTTGTATGCTCTAGATTCCCAAGCCCTGGTCCCAGCTGTGTATAGTATTCCTGCAAGGCATGAAACACTGGGGATTTTGCAGAGGGGTTTATTTCCAAAAATAAACTATATTTTTTCAAATATTTATGACCCATGGAAACAGTTAATGTTATATAATCACCATTTGAACTACTTGAAGCCCCTGCTTCCACCCTGGCCCTTCTACCAGCTTGTGAATTTTTTGTACAACATAAGTTAGTAAGTGAACATCAAAACGTTGGGAACACTTACTCTAGGTAATATTTGCTTAACTATAACCTCAAAAATATAACCTCAATAAAAATAATCATAAACCATGTTTCATGTTTTTAACTACTTTGTTTATGTCTGAAAACTGAAATAAACTTTGAATAGTATTCAAACTACTTTGGTTTGTGAAACTTGTATTTTTTCCTCTTCACCTTTCTTTAAAAAATATTCAAAGAATACATAAACTTCAAATATGCATTTCAGCTTACTCAAATTGCTGAGTAAAATGGAACAAGGAAACAAAGAGACCAGAATAATAATAGGTGAGTATGAGCAAATTCAAAACTGAAAGAGGAGTAACTTTCCGGAGTGAGCTTACATAATTTAAACAAGTGTGATTTGTCAGTTGGATTTTGTCTGATGTAATTTGCTGTTTTTCTTGTATGCTTGAAGTTTTTTTTTAATGTATAATATATAAAATAGTTGAATATTAAAAACTGCTGTATCTGTATATCCAAATTGTCATAGGTCATCATTTATTGCTTTGGAAACATCTGATAGAAAGTTGCTATGTGAAAAAAAAAAATGAAATTCAGTGACATGGCAGAGTTAAAAAAATAAACATATTTTTTTCACTGTGCAAATGGATGTGGGCAGTGTTGTCTTAATGGTTAGGGAAGCACACTTGTAATTGAAAGATTGCAGACTCAAATTCCCGACCAGCAAGGCACCACTGAGGTACCCTGAGCAAGGTACCGCCTCCAAGCACTGCTTGGGCACTGAATTAGCTGCCCCCTGCTATGTCACGTATGGGTTAAATGTAGAGAACACATTTTGTTGTTGTGCACTGTGTGCTGTAGTTAGTCAACAATGTCCACTGATCACTAAATAAATAATAAATGTAGATACTTTCTTCATTCAAATGAAAATTAATTGGAAAAAATAGCTCGACTAATGGTGACTATATTCAAACAGTAGACCATAATTAGAAAGTCCACTGAGCTGGGCCTTTGGACGCTGAGATTTCTGGAATTGCTGTAGAGGCTGCTGGGATTACCCTTCCGGTACGGAAAAACGATCATGAAGCTGCATTTCAGGCCGGCTAAACACTACCCCCAATAATAATAATAATAATGTACAGCGCTGACGATTTTTCACATCCACATAGATATGTGGAATACTACAGAAACCAAGCTGGTAACGGACTCCCCGGATACAACGGAGCACCCGTCATGTACGGAGGGGGTCTGGGGGGTCTTTTTCAAGGACTCCTGAGAATGGCTGTACCATTTCTGAAAAGGACTTTCAGTATGGCGAAACCACATTTAAAATCGGCAGCGCAAAATATAGCAAAGGATGTAATTTCCAGTGCGATTATGGGGCAATTAACAAGAGTACATCTCCGGGCTCATGGTGTTGGCGCGTGGTAAGCGTCAAAGGCCCCCCGGGGCTCGAAATACCGATGCTAAAAAACGCAAGGTTTCCACCAAGAGAAGCTCAGTAGTCAAAAAGAAGCGAGAGAAGAAGAAGGAGCCCAAAAAAGTACAGAGAAGAAGATATACATTTTCTAAAACTATGGCCCTCATACACAACCTGTCAGAGGAGTGCATGAAATCAGAATTGGATATTTTTGCAGTGCCATACACACAAGCAAGCATCGATAAAAATATATATGTGGAAGTGCCGCCACTCTCAGCTTTAACAGATAATGGGCCCCTGGAGTTTTTCATCGTCGGTAATGGGGAAGATTACCTAGACCTCAACAACACCTACGGTGTCGAATCACAAAAGCTAACATTGACCCTGCCGCGAAGGTGGGGGTCATAAATTACCCTATCGCCTCAATTTTCTCACAGGTGGACGTATCCTTGGGTGACAGGCTAGTAACCCAGTCTAGCAATACATACCCTTACAGAGCCATGATAGAGTGCCTGCTTAATTAAAGCGTCGGAACGCTATCCAGGCAGTTTACCTGCGGGCTGTTTCATAAAGACAGTTCCGGTGCTATGGACGATACCGATCTTGATGGCGATAACAAGGGCTTAGAGAAAAGAGCAGCATTTTCAGCAAGAAGCGGCGTTTTTGATTTGATGGGACCAATACTGTCAGCGGACGGCAGGGAAGCGAGCCGTGGAAACAAGTGAGAGCAGCCAGGAAGTCAGGCAAACTTGGTTTTATTAACCAAAAGACGGACATCCACGGACAATACAGACAATACAATGACGGAACTGGGGACTACTGACTCAGACGAGGACTAAATACACAAGACAAGCTAGACTTAATAAGACACAGGCGAGCACAATCAGGGTTGAACACGAGGTAATGAGGGGGGCGTGGCACACATCGGGATCGTACGGAGCAGGGTGTGACAGAACCCCCCCCCAAAGGGCGCGCACCCCGGGCGCGCCAGAGGAGAGGCGACGGACGAGACGAACC